GGAAAGCTGGAGAAGAGGGAAAGGAGTCTGGGGGCAAAGGACCCTGGGGGAGAGGAAAAACTGGCAGTTAGGGGAATTTTGCTCCACAGATAAGGGCAAGGCAGAGCAGGGAATTCTCCAGGCGGGATCAGAGCCATGGATTCCTCCAGCAGCGACAGAGAGAACCTGGGAACCACGAGCGAGGCGGTTTGGGAGCTCAGGGGAGCTGCTCCAACAGCTTTTCCCCTTCCAGGACGTGAAGGATCAAGAACTCTTGGGTTCAGGATGAAACCTTGGAGCACTCCCGTGCCTCAGTTTCCCCACTGAAAAATGAGGATAATCCCAGTTTTCTGTAGGAAAGCCACGTGGGTTCAGCTGCCGCAGAGCTTTCTCTGGAGAGGAAAAGGAATGTGGAGGAGAGGGAAGGGAACCTGGAGGAGAGGGAAAGGAACCTGGAGGAGAGGGGAAAGGAACCTGGAGGAAAAGGAGCCTGGAAGAGAAAGAAAGGAGCCTGGAGGAGAGGAAAGCTGGAGAAGAGGGAAAGGAACCTGGAGGAGAGGGAAAGGAACCTGGAGGGAGAGGGAAAGGAACCTGGAAGAAAAAGAAAGGAGCCTGGAGGAGAGGGAAAGGACCCTGGATAAGAGGGAAGGGAGCCTGGAGGAGAGGGAGAACTGGCAGTTAGGGGAATTTTGCTCCAGAGGGGACACAGGACAGCGCCCTGGGTGAGGAGCATCTGCCCAGGGAATTCTCCAGGCGGGATCAGAGCCACGGATTCCTCCAGCAGTGACAGAGAGAACCCAATGCCCGTGAGCGAGGTGGTTTGGGAGTGCAGGGGAGCTGCTCCAACAGCTTTTCCCCTTGAGGAGCTCGGCGAGGAATCAGCATTTTTTTCCTCCCTAACCTTCCAAAGTCAGCCCTGGAGCAGCCCGGGAGGCTCCCGCGGAGTTTTGGGATCGCGGAAGCGCCTCCCCCGCAGCGCGAAGGGGTTGTTTGTGCGGCCGGGCCGCTTACAATTAACAAGGTTAATTAAACCCGCGGAGCTGCTGCCCCTCGATAATGGCCCGGGCTCGGCGGGCGGGAGGGGCCGCGCCTCGGGGGCAGAGCCGCCTTTATTATCCCTTTTTATTAGCGCTAATTCGGGCTCTCCATCAAAAGGCGCATTAAGGGAGTCGTTGGCGGCTTCCCGAGCCCCGTCCTTTCGGGAATGTCGGCGCTTCAAAGGCAATTAAAGATAAACTCTTCTCTTTTTTTTTTTTTCTTTTTTTCCGAGCGTCCCTTTTGTTTTCTTGCCCCTCTCTCTCGTAGTTCCCGACAAACCCTCCCCGTGCCCTTCAGGGATAAGGGTGGTTTGGGTTTTTTCAGTGGATAAGTCCCCGCCCGGGGTTGTTGTAGGGTTGGGAATGTTGTGGTGCTGGAGGAGAGGGAGAGGAGGCTGGAGAGGGAAAGGAGCCTGGAAAAGGGGGAAGATGGAGAAGGGGGAAACGAGCTGGGAGGAGAGGAAAAGGAGCCTGGAGGAGAAGGGAAGGAGCCTGGAAAGGGAAAGGATCATGGAGGAGTGGGAAAAGAATCTGGAGGAGAAGGAAAGGGGGCTGGAGGAGAGGGAGAAGGAGGCTGGAGGAGAAGGGAAAGGAGTCTGGAGGAGAGGGAAAGGAGTCTGGAGGCAAAGGAGCCTGGAGGAGTGGGAAAGGACCACGGAGGAGTGGGAAAGGAACTTGGAGGAAAAGGAGCCTGGAGGGAAAGGAACCTGGTTCAGAAGGGAAGGAGCCTGGAGAAGAGGGAAAGGAACCTGGAGGAGAGGGAAAGGAGCCTGGAGGGAAAGGAGCTTGGAGGAGAGGGAAAAGAACCTGGAGGAGAGGGGAAAGAGCAGGAGAGGGAAAGGAACCTGGAGAGGGAAAGGACCATGGAGAAGTGGGAAAGGACCATGGACGAGAGGGAAAGGACCATGGAGCAGAGGAGAAGGAGCCTGGAGGAACAAGAAAAGAATCTGGAGGAGTGGGAAAGGAGCCTGGAGGAGAGAGAAAGGAACCTAGAGGAGAGGGAAAGGAACTGGCAGGACTGGGATGCTGCCGGTGAATGGAGGGATTGATCCCATGTTATACAGGGAGGAATTTTGGGATGTAGGGCAGAGTAGGAGGAGCTGGACCAGCTCAGCACATTCTGCCTGTGGTAGGGGGTGAGTTAAGGATGCTGGAATATCACAGCAGGCTGGGAATTTGGGGTTGATTCCAACAGCTGGCACAAGGGGAAGTTTGGATCCTGCTCCGTCGGTTTTCCCTGTGGTGCCTCGGGAATGGGGGGTGTGGGAGCAGGGCTGTGCCTCTGGATCCAACTCTCCCTTTCTCAAATCTCTGGATTTGAAAGGAGCCTGGGATCTCCTTGTCTTTTCCCTCCCTCCCTCCTGGGATATCCCTCCTGGAGCAATCCCACAGGAGCATCCCATCGCTCGCAGCCCTTGGTGGGGGTTCCTTGGAATGATGCAGCTTCCCCAAAATCCTTGTGGAAGTTCTAAGACCCACCTTGTGGAGCCTTTATCCATGGAAAAACCAAAGGATGGGGTTTTGGCCTTTGGGGTGGCCAGAACCCCTCAGAGGATGTTGATCCCTGTTGCTGCTATTCCCATCTCCATGGCTGTATCACCCCTTGGGAATGATGTTCTCCAGGTTTCCCTCCTGGTGGCCACTCCCTGCTTTCCAACCCCTCCAGCATCCCAAGGGATGCTGAGCCGAGCGCGTTCACACACCAGGAGACCACGGAACATCAGGGATATTCCTTGCAGGATGTCAAAGGAAGAGCTAAAAAATCCCTCTGGGATCATTGGCTGGCAAAAGGTTTCTCTTTATTTCCGCTCTGGGGAGGGGTCGAATGATCCCGGATCCGGGTTTCTCTTCCAGATGCCGGTGTGTTCCTACTACTTGAAGGGGATCTGCAGCAACAGCAACTGCCCCTACAGCCATGTCTACGTGTCCAGGAAGGCGGAGGTGTGCCAGGATTTCCTCAAGGGATATTGTCCCATGGGAGAAAAGGTAAGGAAGGGGTTTATTTATCCCGGCTTCCCGGGGTCCAAAGGCGCGAGCGACGTTCCGACGGCGCCGCGGGGCTGGAAAACGCCCGGAGGGGATGAACTGGTTTTCCCAAGGGTTGTGGAAAAGTGGGTTTACAGGCAGGGAAAAAAAAAAAAGGAATGAAATCCGAGGCTTTGACTCATAAACATTGTGCTGGTGTTTCCTGGGAAGAGCCTTCCCGGGGTGTCCGTGTTCCCCTGCCCGGAAAACCCCTCCCCTAAACAGATGGAAAAGAAAAGGCTTGTGATTCCCTGTTTTCCATAGGAAATCCATGGATGTTAAAGCTTGTTTTCCATGCTGGGTCCGGGATGGGTTAAAACTTGAGCCTTAAATGTTGTGGTTTAGTCTTGGGAGCAAGACCAGCCTTCCCAGCTGAGCTTAGGGATGTGCCTAGGGATTCATGGAGCCACTTCCAGGTCCTGGGGATTCATGGAGTCACCTCCAGGTCCTGGGGATTCATGGAGTCGCCTCCAGGTCCTGGGGATTCATGGAGTCACCTCCGGGTCTTGGGGATTCATGGAGCCACCTCCGGGTCTTGGGGATTCATGGAGCCACCTCCAGGTCCTGGGGATTCGTGGAGTCACCTCCAGGTCCTGGGGATTCATGGAGTCACCTCCAGGTCCTGGGGATTCATGGAGCTACCTCCAGGTCCTGAGGATCCTCTGGTTTGGATCAGTGAAGTCCTGCATGGACTTCCTGTGTGCCCTGGGGAGAGTTCCAACCTCATCCATGAGCTTATGGAACCCAATGGAATGGGCAGAGCTTGAGGCAGAGCAGCTTCCCTGGAATTTTAGGGCTCTTAAAGTGCAAAAAAATGGAATGTTGGGGTTTAACCAACATCTTGTGGCTCCCCTGTTCTTCATAAGGGATGGGAGGAGGGGGTGGCAGCAAGCTCAGGTCCTCACTGGGGTCCTCCCAAGGGTGTGGAGCTGCTGGAGCAGATCCAGAGGAGGCCACAGAGATACTCCAAGCGCTGGAGCCCCTCTGCTCTGGAACCAGGCTGGGAGAGCTGGGAATGTCCAACCTGGAGAAGAGAAGGATCCAGGGAGACCTGAGAGTCCCTTGCAGGGCCTAAAGGGGCTCCAGGAGAGCTGGAGAGGGACTTGGGACAAGGGGTGGAGGGACAACACACAGGGAATGGCTTCCCACTGCCAGAGGGTTAGATGGGATATTGGGAAGGAATTCTTGGCTGTGAGAGTGGTGAGTGACTGGGCTGGAATTCCCAGAGAAGCTGTGGCTGCCCCTGGATCCCTGGAAGTGTCCAAGGCCAGGTTGGAGCACCCTGGGATAGTGGGAGGTGTCCCTGCCCACAGCAGGGGGTGGAACTGGATGACCTTTAATGTCCCTTCCCACCCAAACCATTCCATGATTCCATGATTTGCTGTGCAGCGTTGGGCCATTGCTGAGCCCAGGGGGAGGATGGCAGCCATCCTCTTCCTCTGGGAAGCTGGGAAGCACCTTTGAGATGCTTTTCCTATGGAAAAACCATCTCCTCCATGTCCTGGATCGGTTCATCCGCTTCCGTGAGCCGACAGCAACCGGCAGCACCTTCATTCATGTCCCCCTAAGCACTTGCTGCTCCTGGAGATCTCTTCCTTCCTCATGGTTCTGGCTGCTTCCCACTGGGAAAGATGCTGGGATGAGCAGCTGGATGCTTGGATCCATGTGCTGGAACTCCAAAGGGCTTTTCCCTCCTTTTCTCCATCCTTCATTGGCTGAGCGGAGCCGTGGGCGCCCCATTCCCAATCCCCTGGGTGTCATCACCTGTCCCAGGCTCCAAACAGAATCCAAACACGACCTTGAGTGGAATAATTGGATCGTTTAGGTTGGGAAAAGACCTTGGAGCCCATCGAGTCCAACCTTTAAGCCAAGTCCCACCTTTTCCCGAGGAAAAAAGCGCCACGGAGCAAAAACCAGGCAAGAAGAAGGGAGGGGGAAAAAAAAGCCAAAAGGGAGAGTTTTAGGGCAAGCAACGGAGGGAAGCTCTAATAAATTAGTCCAGGCTTAATTCCTTCTCGTGGCAGCGCACGGAGGGGACGGGATAAACAATTCCCGGGAAGGAAAAACACGGGAACGCCGCCGGCCTCCCCTCCAGCCCAGCGCCAACCACGCGGGCAGGGGCCTGTGCCAATTTATTTCGAAAAAACTATTGCAATTTAAATGAAAATATCAAAGAGATAGTTAGAATATTTATTCTATTAGGAAAAGTGCTTACGGCGTCACTTTGGGAGCGTCGGGGAAGGCATTCTCCTCCGGATGATGGATAGCAGCCTGTAATTATGGATGGGGGAGAAAGTGCTGAGAGGGCCAGATTGAACTGGGGGAGGGAGAAATACCGGCGTGGGCCATTAAGGGTTAATTTTATTCTCTAAATAATATGGAAAGTGCTGAGTCCGGGCCTTTTGCTCCGAGCGGAAAGTCCTCAAATGGACCCCGGAGAGTTTCTAATATTCTCCTGAATCGAGGGAAAAATGTTAACCTCGGCTTCCATAAAAAACGACGGCTCGTTAAAGAGGCAACGCTCCCTTTTCCCGGTGAATAATTTAGGCTGGGAGTAAATCTTCCCCTCGTTCCGCCTTTCCCCGCCCGGGAAACGGGGGAGACGCCGGAGCGACGTCCTGGGTGGATAAACTTGGAGAAGGGGAGCAATAATTTGGAATTTAGGTGCTTTTGGGCTGAAATTCGGCACACGGGGCTCTTCTCCCACAGGGATTTTCCTCCTCGGGCTCCTCCCCAAAGAGCAATTCCTGGTTTTTATCAGGCTGCCATCAAAAGTGTCCATTATGATCCATAATTTATGACGTGGCGGCGGCGCCACTTAAGCACTTCCTGGGATGTCTCGGAGGATTCCAGGACAAGTGGATCAGGCCTTTGACCCATCCCGTGGGCTGGAACTCCAACTGCCAGGGCCAAACCTGCTCCGGCTTTGTCGGGAATTATGTGGGATAAAGTGAGAAAGCTTTAAGTTGGCATTCCCAAATCCCTTTTTCTGGGAATGTGGGCTGGAGAGGGCCAAGGTCCCTCCACCCTTTGGGAGAAGGGGCAGTTCCTTCATTAAGGGAATGTCATCCCCAATATTAATTAGTTGGACTCGCTGATCTTGGGGGGGTCTTTTCCAACCTAAATGATCCTGGGATTCTGTTTCTGGAAGGTGGAACTGGTGGCAGAGAGAGGACCTTGATTTCCAGCAGCCTCAACGGGTTCCTCAGTCGTGGCTTGGGAATTTCTCCCCTTTCTGTGCTTCCCAAAGGGATTGGAGGGACCTGCGAGTTGAGCTTGGTGAAGCAGTGGGTGAAACAGGGCTCCAAATATCCCCATGGATATCTGGATCATCCCTAAACACGGCAGCATCCGTGGCTCAGCTGAATCCATGCAGAGATTCCCACCCTGGAGGTCTCTGTCCCGCCTTTCCTGGGGCTCCCTGACCTTCCCTGGAAGTGGGAAGAGAGGGAGAAATGGGTCTTCTCTCTCAGGGGCTCCCCAGGGTTTTCCAAAGATGATGAGCTGCTCCTCTCTGGCTCCACATCCCTCCTCCCACCTGGAGCCTCCTGTTGGGCCGGGAATTCCCTGGGAGAGGGTGGGATGAGGATGTGGATGTGAGGGATGAAGTTGCCGTTCATGGTAGTGTGATCCCAAGGCTGGGGAGAAGCGGCAGGAGACATTGGATGGTTGTGGATTCTCCATCCTGGAATTGTTCAAGGCCTTGTTGGACGGAGCAACCTGGGATAGTGGGAGGTGTCCCTGCCCATGGCTCTGGAATTCCAGGGGGTTGGAATTCCATGATCTTGAAGGTCCCTTCCAACCCAACCCATATTTGATGGGCTGAGATCTCTGCGTGGCCAAGAACTTGGATCTGGGAATCACCACAAGCACTTGGATCACATCCATAGGTGATCCCAAGGAGCAACTGCCTTGGGATTTGCATTACAGGCATGAAACATTGAAGGGAGATTTCCTTGGGATTTGCCTTACAGGCACAAAATGTGGAAGGGAGATTTCCATGGGATTTTGGGAAGGAATTCTTGACTGGGAGGGTAGGGAGGGGCTGGAAGGGAATTCCCAGAGAAGCTGTGGCTACCCCATCCCTGGAAGTGTCCAAGGCCATGTTGGAGCAACCTGGGCTAGTGGGAGGTGTCCCTGCCCGTGGCATGGGGTTGGAATTCCATGATCTTTCCGCTCCCTTCCCACCCAAACCATTCCAGTACTTATTGGGATATATGAGAATCAGAACCTTGGGAAGCTCTCGGTGCTGGATTTCTCCAGCATTCCCAGTGTGCCGGAGCAAAGGCAAGCGAGTCAGGCCATTCCCCTCCAACTGCTGCACCTGGAAAACTGTCTGGAATTAAACAACCTCCCCCTCTCCGTGTCCACGAAGGCGCGGGAGCCGCGGGAAATCCCTCTCTCTCCGCGTTTCCTCGGAAGTCGTTCCCCCGTGGGAGCCTTTAAGCGGCGAGAACACTGCAAGATTAAACAACGAGGCTTCCGGGGAAAAGCTGCTGGAATAAATCAGGGATGAGCCGGGCTGGGGAAGCCCATCAGCCTCCCAAAAATCCCTCTTTTTTTGTTTTCTTTGTGGCACCACCGGCCTTTCCCCAGAGATTTGCTCCTTATCCGTGTAAAACGAGGTGGCCAGGGCAGACCTGAGCAACCGGCGCTTCCCAAGGAAGTGCAGCTTCCCAAGGAAGTGGATTGTGGTGCTTTCCCACAGCGGCAGCTGCTCGACTTTGCTGCAGAAAATGCAAATGTGGGGATTTTTTAACCTCCTTCTCCTGTTGGTTTTTTTTTTTCGGTGCCTTCAGTTGGTTCTTTTCCCCTTTTCTGCCGGAAGTCGAAGAGTTTCCCACCATAACACATGAAATTTAACCCATATCTTTAAAAAATGAGTTAAATTTTCTAAAGAAAAATTGGAAAATTTTTCTTTTCTTCTAATTTTTTTTTTGCTAATTTTTCTTTTTTCTAAT